ATATCTGGAATATGAATATATTTTATAGTATACAGGGTTTGGAACCGGTTTTATTTTTCATATGCTAAACCCGGTTTTAATCGGTTTTAACATATGAAAAATAAAACCGGTTCCAAACACTACCAGATACAAACCAAAATCGCATAGAGGTATGCATGTCGGAAAAATACGGTATCTAATTTTAATATTCTATATGTTCTAATAGCATTTATTCAGGGTGTGATGCTATCACTGTATATAATAATCTAATAACAATTTTTAAATGAAAATGCGGTATTGCTAATTGAATAATTTACAATCGTCCCTTATTCTCGTGCAATTTGCTAAGAGAAAAAATGGTCACACATCCAACTACTATAAACGTACTCCATCCTTTCCAAACATTAAAGCATTGACCATCATCCATTTTACAAAACATTACATGACTAAGTCCAAATACTACAATTGCTCTAATAGAATTTAACAATCCAGTGGAGACATTGCCAATTCGCTTAATCAGCTGATAATAAGCAAGGTTATGAACGAATGACGCAAATACTAGTATCAAATATATGATTATGATTGTGAAAGTATCAGCATATCCGGCTTTCTTTGCAATTTCTTCTGTCACTAGCGAATTCCAGTTAGGAATCGTATAAAAGATTACATATAACATAGTCAAACATGAACAACAGCTTCCTACTAAGAAGCATGCTTTTTCTGGAGGGGGCGGAAGTTCATTAGGGACACGAACAATAAATATTTGGTCGGATACAACATAAACACATGCATATCCAAATGTAGCAAACGACGTCAAAATCATTCCAAACATTGTAGAGGACATATTAAACGAGTGAAGTATCGTAGGACCAGTAGCAGTTGTAGGTGGTGGTATTGTGTGTTGATCATCTTGGTTTTGAGAAATTCCCAGTGCGCTAAGAGCAAGTCCGACGAATACACCAATAATACATAGAGATTGTACTGCTGAAAGTTTTCGTCCAAGAAAAATTAACGAAAGAATAGCACACCAGATGACTACTGAACTATAAATTACTTGAAACATCTTGTTATATACGTCGATGAAAATGGAGTAAAGATTAGCTGTGCTAGCAATGATCAATGAATGATTGTGAAAATTAGCTTACCCCACTTCCAACATAGAAAAAACCTATCGTTAATGCAAAATTAGCCGTAACGTCCAACAATGATGCGGCAATAATAAAATTGTAATTAACGACTTCTTTCTGATTTGAAAATTTGTCATTTGTATTTTCTAAAGTATCTTCAGAATCACCACTTGGTAATAATTGATATTCTTTCTGTGCTTCAGTTGCCTAATAGGAAGGAATTTGACAAATTAATAATAAATGTATAAGTAAAATAAAATAATTAAAGGATTGTAATCGAATGGGTGTAAACATCTTATCAACCTATCCGAATGGATATCCTTACAGAATTCCGGGAATACAAATTAATTTCTACATAATTATAAATACATAAACAACCTTGATTTGACCGATGTTCACCATAGTGAATTCCATATTGCTTGATCCTTTCCTATTAGCCCACCATGTAGGTATTAGCAGCAGCCCAACCGAGGCACTTCCAATGTACTGTGCAGTATTTGTGAGAAGACTGCAAATAAACATTGTGTAATATTATGTGATTATAAAGCTGGAAATTCTTTGAATTTTCAATATCCTCATAAAAAAGTATGTTATACCTTATTCCGCCTAAAAAAAAAAGAAAATGGTTTGAAATGATAACTAAACTTTACAAAAGAGAAGGATATAACCCTTACTAGCAGCTCCTTGATAGTATAAATACTGTGCAGCAATAGTTTGATAAAATCCAGTAAAAAGAAACATCGCCTGATATGCGATGATGACAGGTAATGAAGACCTTTCTGACATCTTTGAATCCTTAAACTTGTAAAAAAAATTATATTAAATACGCCGTACGCCGTACGTACGTGCGTTAAATCCTATAAAATTTGAGTGATCGACATTGCAGCTTTCAATCACTTCAGGGTAATGGATTTTCATTATTAATTGTAATTGTTGATCACATGATGTATGGCTTCTGCGATCAAATTTTCGGCGATTTGAGTTCGGATCATACATTCAATTCAAATAGTACAAAATATTGTAATAATGATGTAAATCATTGCAATAAGGTTATATACTACTGTTAAACTTTTGTAAAGCCAGTGCTTTGTATAAAACATGATAAAATTATATACGTGCATTGTAAGATTGTAACTTTCATAACACAACCCTAGACATAGTGCAACTGTGCAGGTATGTAATTTTTGTTATACAGTGCGGGACAGCAAAAAACATACAATTTTTTAGCAATTGTTAAATGTCTAATAGCTTTATAACAAATAATTATTTTAAAAATCCCTCTTACAGATTTATTATTTATAACCTAAACTACAAATCTGTAAGAC